GTTTGGATGACAAAAACCGTTCAAAAGGGTTTTTAACAAAATCGAGAGGTCTAAGTTGCTCTTCTCTTCGGCTGTGGCGGCCTGAATCGGTCGTCTCACCCAACCCACCATTGGCCGGTCGTTCGACGAGTGGACATGTGGCAGATTCGTGGTGGATGACACTGTGGCAAATGAAGCTAATCCACCAGCTGGAATGAGACCAGATAGAGCCCAATGATCCCAATGCGTCAACAATAGCGTGTGAACTGTGAACTAGAGGTTCCATTTGTTTTGTCGAGATTGCTTTTCAACGCTGCCCTTGGCTTCGGCTCGCCAAACACCCTTCGCTCTTAGGAGAGCCCAGGTGGAGGTGCGACTCGCTGCGGATATACCAGCTGGTGGAGCCAGATGCGTCATCATGAGGGATCCTCATCATGGGACATCACAAAATGACAACATGTGTGGTCAGTGGTCATTGAGTTTTGTTTATGGGGTGGAGTGAGTGGAGTCATGTGGAGTACCAGCCATTGGTAAGAATGCTGTTGTTTTGGAATTTGGAGAGTGGGTGCATGCGATGAAGTCATGATCTCCTGAAACCCAGAGACCCTTTTGAAAGTGAATACATTAAATGATCCGTTTGCAAAACACTACTTTTCCGCAACTCCTAAACCCTACACCAAATCACTTGGAAAGAACATTGACCTTCATCTAGCCTTGAGCCATCAATCCTAAGCCAAAAACAGCACATCTGAAGGAAACCACCAAGGCCAGGACCAAATTCTGGGGCGTTCAATCCTCTCACCCGAGCCCTTCTTCCCGGAGGCGGCCGACCGGGGCGGGTTGACGGCGCTGCATTGGGCCGCCAAGGAGGGAAAGATCTCAGAGGCGGGAAGCAGCGATTGTTTGCACAAAAAAGTGGACCATCTGGAGGACCCTCGGGAGGACCCTTTGGAGGACCCTCAGGAGGACCCTTTGGAGGACGAGTTTGGGGGAGTTGGGCTCGGTGCTTGCAAAAAGCATGAGGGGCGGCGGATCGTTTGGAGCTCAGGAGCGACGATTCGGGGAGTTCACCAGATTTTGAGCCAATTATCGGGGAGACACCGGGGGAAAGGCAGAGCAGTATGATGCAGTATGTGCCATGGAGTCTCAAAGTACCTCAGAAAATGGGTACTAGTACCTGTCCTTTATGGGGTCATATCCTATTTTCTAGGGTAAATTTGAATGGTTCAGGTATAGGCATGCATAACAGCGGCCCTGGTATAAGTCAACTAAGATTGTTGAGTTGATGGTTGAATAATTGTTACCTTTGGAAGCTTCTAGGTGCAGAGTAGAGTTGTCCTAGAATTGGTGATGTTTAAGGGAACTCTGCAGGAAACCCATGGTTACCTAGTTTGGGGAGTGTCACGGTGAACACCATGGTTTGCTGTAGGTTTCCCCATGGTTTTCCCTTATGAAGCAACAGGTCAGATCCTGCTCCGTGTGATCCATCATTCACCCCGTTCAACACCGTCAATACACCATCCCGTCAAGCATGAATCCGCTGATGGAGAGCCCGCTCTCCCGTTGTCGCGTGCCACGTGTACCGACGGTTTCGCCGTTACGGGTAACTCGTTCGGCGGACGGTGTTCGCGTCGAACGGGTCGAGTTGGAGGTCCAAGATCTCTTAGATGCCAATGCCAACCTCAATGCCGCTGACGAGGCGTGTCTCTCATGGAGACCCAGGGCGCGTGTTGCCCCGGTGGGGGGTTTGGGGAAAACCCCGCGGCACACTTCAAATCATGTTTGGGTTTGGGTCATACGGGACGTCATACGCCGATCTTCCAACGTTCTTTTCGCCCGCGGACGCCGCTGAAAAGAACAACACGGCCAGGAGGGGATGACCGCCGTGAAGCTTGCGGCGATCTTCAATCGTGTGGAGGCTGTCTATGGCCGAAACTGTTGTCTCTATTAAGATCACACATCATATCACACTGATAACATGTGAGATTTCCAAGAGAAAGTTTCATGTTGTGCCAGGGTGCTTCCATTCCTGTCAGACCTCTGCAATGGATTTTATACCTTACATAAGTAGCTGGTGCCGTATTGGTTCTTTTTAAGAAGCATCTTGGACGATCGGAAGAACGTGAACTTCATTGACGAACATGCGAAAGCACTTCTGCACGATCATGCGAAAGCACTTCGACCGATTCCTCATGCCTTTGGACTGCGCTCCGACCCCGTCCGACCATCGCCAGGTGCTCCGCTGCTTGGTGGACCGCGGCGCCGATGCCCAGGAGCCCTTGGAGCTGGCGAAGAAGTTGCCCCGATCCGCGGAGCTTGGAGCTCTCAGAGTGGGAAGAGAGATGAAGAGAGGAAGAAGTCGGCTGAAGTCGGGTAGATTTGTTGAAACACATGTTGCTGCAAGGGTCCATGTGTTTTTGGTTTCAATCGTTTTTTTGGTCTGTTTGTGGTGCAGGAGATTGCAGGAGAGTACACGTGTTGTTGTGATAGATTGATATAAATTAAAGCGAAAGTGATTTGAGTCATCATGGTATCACAAAGAAACACATGTTTCATGGCTGGGGTGTCATGTGGTTCTATAATGTTCTATGACATGACTTGATAACAAACCAAGAAAAAAACACACCTACTGTCACTCTGAAAGAGAACAAAGGGAATATCACTTTTCCGAATGACACTGCTGTGTGTTTTTTGTTTATGCTGCTGAACATGGGTTCGATCCCCCAATCTGTCCGCTGCCAGTCAACCGATAGGTTTGGCCGGCCAGGCAAGTGGCAAATTCAAGATGTGTAGAATTGGTTAGATCCACAAGCTGTTCAACAATGCAGAACGTTTCAATTGAAATCCATGTTCATGAGTTTGTCCGTTGGATGTCTTGATATTTATTGCCTATTGCGCTTCTTGCTGTACTGGCTACTTGTTTAATGTTCACATCCCACAAGTTCTGCCATACTGTGTCATTGCACAGAAACATGGAGTGCATGAATTTGGCTTTCATAGTTCTGGGTTTTGATGCCACTGCTTTGTTACCTGCATATCCCCTCATCTCGTGACTGTTCGTGTATTCAAAGCTTTGAGAACAAGAGTTCGGCACTCCCATACACGACCGCATACGACCTGAAGATTCCTGGGAAAAGTAGTTTTGTCCATAACAACAAACCAGTATAGTTTTCAGGTTCCTCCTGGGTCTCCGACCGAGGGATACCCCTAGCACGAATACACCATAAAATGCTTCACAACCTGCAAAACCAGGACAATAACAGTGATTGTCGGTTGGAAAATCGGGAAGAAAAGCAAGTCCCCGTCCGCTATAGGGTGAGTTCTGCATTGCATTTTGTGCATGAATTTGAAGGTTCACCTCGGTTGGCTTCATGAAGTCTGGTCCTCCAACAAGTGAGATAATATGATGGTGTTTCAAGGACAGTTGCACCAGATCAATTCAGATCATATATTGAGGGTAGTGTAGTTCCGGAGAAGTCAGGAGCTCTACTTTGTTCGACACGCGCGAACTCGTATAGTTCGCCGGTTAGCCGTGCGCCGAGGGCTGCGCGATTTCTTCAGTCCGTGGTGACTTGAAGAAAGTGAAGGTCTGCCGGATCCGATGTCTGACAGGATTGCTTTGCAAATTGGTGGTGGATTCAAATCATTCAAACATCTAAGATGGTGGGCACTTTGATGGACAAATGTTGATGCGGGTCCCAAAAGGGAAGCCAAAAGCGAGTCCAATCAATGTGTTAATGTCAAAGTTGATCAAAACAAATATCCTGACACGACTGGACTGAACGCTTGAAAGTTGACATGGCGGAGTGTTTGGTGAAACCGAACCAGATGCCCAGTGTACACAAGAGCAGAGCTTGAGCCCCGGTGTGGCGGCACAGTTGCTTGGTAGCTGCCTTGATCGGCTTGATAGGCTTGCAGACTTACCTGAGCCGCCTCCCCGGGGAATGGCTTTAGAGCCGAATGGGGAGGGACTTTGGAGCTCGGCGCGATGTAGACGCACGCAGAGCTGGAACTTCGGTATGGATGCACACCTGCTCGGCAGCGGCCTTTTGAGATTGAGGAGAGATAGATTGAGAGAGAGAGAGAGAGTGAGTCAGAGAGAGAGAGAGAGAGACAGATTGACGCCACCTCTCGATCGATCTGGTGCGATCTTGATGAGAACAGCTGAAGAACCTGAAGAGCTTAGTCTGGGCCCCGTTTGGGTCATTTTCGTGCTGGCTCCTATGGCCAGAAGTTCTTGATTTCTGAGCTTGAAAAGAGACGGAAGCGCAAATTGGAGACTTTCAGCTCAAGAAGGTGCTTGGCTTTTGACCACAGAGTGTGCGTTGGCACCCCGAAAGTCTCAAGGAGTTTGTTGTACCTATACAATACAACTAATAGTACCTGCAGGACCTTCCAGCAGGTGGTTTTTGGATGTTTTTGGACACCCCTTAACCTCTAGAGGCTATTTAGGGGGCTAGCGCTCGCGGCCGCAGAGGCTGGTTTGAATTGACGGGCTTGGTTTGTCTCCGGAGGCTGTGAATTCTCAGTTCCAGCACGTGTTCAAGAGTAAGGCAGTCATGAATGGGCTGGTAATGCTGAGGAGTGTACTGAGGACGGAACCTTGGTTTGTCCTGATTGTGGTCAGGCACATCCCACAGCTGACCATCTCTTCTGGCATTGTCCTGCCTATAAGTCTCTTAGGGCTGTCATGCACTCCTAGTTACGGGCCTAGGTGATCAAGATTGAGATTTAGGAATGTTATGCAACAACTGTTGAAACCCATGGCTGTCCAAACCGTGGAAGCGCGGAGTCATGGACCTGGACCACTACCCCAAGCTGAAAGCACATGTGTTGTAGGCTCAAGTTGTCAGACATGCACGAGCTGAATACTGACATAGCAAGTGGTTTTGCAAGGAAACACATCTGATCTGTGGCTACATGTTGACTAACATGGGTTGTGTTAAGATCAATTTGCTTAGTAGTTTTATACAGGGTCAGTGGGTCACCATTGTACTATATAATTCTTGACACAACATATTTTCTCATGAACTGCCATAATGGTTGAAGCTGAACCTCGAAGTATTGCCATTGTGGGCGGTGGCGTCGCAGGAGAGCTGTTGCTGCTGTTGTTGTTGTTGTTGGTGGTGGTGGTGGTGGTGGACACGGGTTTCGTTCTTTGCTAAGGCTGGACATTGCTCATGAGTTGGTGGGTGTTTGTTCTTCGAAGAGAGCAGAAGCCGGAAGTTTTCTCAGAATCCCGCATCCCAAAACGCCAATGAACCCTCAGTGTAGAAGTGTAGAACAGGCATTGAAAGGCGCCAGTATTCCATATTCCACCACCCACGTTGTCGAGAGAGCGAGTGGTTTCCACCAGTCGTCGTGAAGTGGTTTCCATTTGTCGAGATAGCTATTCAGAACTTCACCCCACCCGGGTCAACCCTTCCACATATGCAAACAGATGAGTCCAAAGCCAAGAAAAACAAAACACCAGTTGTAGGAGAGTCGCGCAAAGACCTGGGGCCAAGCAAAGTCCGGAGGATTGCAAGCGCTCCATTCATTGCTTCAGCTCCCTCGAGTGGAGAAGATTGTCCCTTTACCCGACATGTGGCGGGCGCTTTCTTCGACGTGTTCTTCGGCGAGTCGTGTGTTCTTCGGTCGTCCAACCGGGTGGCCCCATCTGCCATCGAGCTTCTCGAGAAGCTCTCAACGACTCCCTTGTTTTTGAAGGGTATGGCAAGGTATGGCCGCTATAGCCCTGTTTTCCCCTGGTTGGCTTGCTTGGCTTTTGCATGGGGAGACCACCAGTTCGAGTCCCTGGAAGAAGGAACATAGACAAACACCACAAAACCCATTGGGACATGGAGTTTTGTTTTTTTAATACACACCCATTGCTCATAAATATGCGTCATATTCTCTCCTTCAGGTCCTTTTCGAGAAGTCAGATACCATCGGCGGCGTGTGGCGTGAGAACTACTTTGGCTATGGAGCACAGGTGAAGCGAGACCAGTGCCTGGGACGTCCCGAAATCTGGGTGAAGACCGCGAAAGATCCGCAGGTCATTGTTTTTATGTTGCATGAATTTATATGCATTTATAATATGGCATTTATAGGCCGGGTCATGTCCTTTGTTCCAGGGTACTTTGGAAGGTCAAGGTTGTGACTTTAGATCATCAGTTTGTCCAGTCTCTGGGGATCTCGTTGGCCTGGTTCCTTGGTTCCTTTGTGGAAGGATGGGGAAGCACCCCCCCGTAGTCATGTCATAATGTACCTGAAGCTCTATATTTGTAAGGCTCCGGTGTAAGCATGTAAAGCACCAACCCCTGTACATCCAGTTTACCGAACCCATGGTCCAAGCAGCCCGTTGTTGTTCCCGTTCCAAAACCCCTTTGTCCAAGCTCCCAAAGCCGAGACCGGATCCATCGGAGCGAAGGCCGAGACTCGACGGACTCAGGTATTCCTTTCCGGAGTTGGGACCAGCAGGCTTGGACCTATATCCCACCGGAGCTCAGCTGATGCTTGGCGACCTCCAACTCGCGAGTCGTCGCCGTGTTAGTGCAAACCTGGAAGGTCGGTCTTGAAGTCCGGTCTCAGACGCAGATGAATCCAATCAGACCGGTCTCGACACGCGGTCATCTCCGTCGGAGTCTATCTGTTGCGTCCACTCTTGTGTCTTTCTTTTTGGCGGCATGGCATTGATTGGGGCCATTGGGAGAGGTCCGTTTGCCCCTCCAGAAATGGATGAATTGACGCTTCGCAGGCCGGTCAATGCTATTTTTGGAGACCTCCCAATGTATACGACCTCGGGAGATTCATTGAGTGTGTTCCAATCCCTACCATCCTGTGGATTCTCCTCCCAGTTGCCTGTTGGGCTCCAACCACTCAAAAACCATGTCCAAGCACTTTGGAATCTACCTGCTACTGAAAAAAGCGAAAACGATAGCTCCACTGCCACGCGAGACCAGGAAGGCTCACTGCCACGCCTACTGCGAGACCTTCGGCCTATGGCCCTACATCCGCCTGAGCACCGATGTTCAGCACCTCACCCGTCGGGCCGGGCCTTCCGGCTTCCGGGTGGCCTGGAAGAGGGCTTCCGATGCCGAGAGCGAGGAGGAGGACGGACCTCAAACAAGACCGGAGAGGTTCGGGTTCGTTCGTTGGGAACACGGTGGAACATGGTATACAACCAGCTTCCGATCAGAGGTTCTGGTTTCATCCTGTGGGTGCATTGATTTGGTGATATTTGGTATGGTTCTGAGAGGTTATCGTCTTGTCTTTTTTTGGAGATTGGTGAATTTGCATTTGCTGGCGAAAGCTTTTGAGGTATACAGTGTATACAGTATATACGCCATTATACGCTATACTGCAAGAGTTGGACAGTTGGACAGACTCGTCGAAGGATGGATGACAGCACAATTCGCCTCACTGCTGTGGATTTTGGAGAAGGGATGATCTTGGCAGGTTTTTGTGAGGAGACTCAGGCATCAAAACCGATCCAAACAAATGCAAAGGTTTGGCACAGGATCGCGTGAGGTGTTTCAGAGGTTATAAACTTTAACAACAATGTACTGTACTTGTTGTTTGCTAACAGATGTTATACACGTGGTTTAGATTTGGATGTGCCTCGCCCAGCCCGTGGGCCGTGACTGCACAGCCAGTGATCTCACGGCCTGCTTGGCAGAAGACAGTGAGGACTTCGACTTTGTCGTCATGGCTGTGGGGAACTTCTCCAAGCCCTTCATTCCCGAGCTGAACCACTCGCACTTCATGGGGAGGTGCCTGCCAGATTTGACCTGTCTTGAAACCTTGACCTAGCGGCCTGAATTTAGCCATCATGTTTGTGTATGTATATATACTTATAAGTACACTGATAGCGTAGTTGGCAGCGTGTGTTAAACCTAAACTATCTAAAACTGGGATTTGTGTAGTAAAGTGGCACTAGGAATGACAGCGTTAAAGTCATCATTGCAATGTGTTGCATTTATATGCATTGTTTAAGTTTTATCGCACCATTATGCGCATTATGCGAGTCCTGAACGAGTCCGAGCATCCACGTGCATCCACCATCCACTGTTGTTTCTGGGCGGCTTGCACTCGGTTTTCCTTTGTGTTTTTCAATAGGCTTCCCAAGTCGGATCCAAAGCCAGCGGGACCATCGTTACTTCTCAGGTTGAAGCCTCGAGGCCCGAAGAGTAGCGCGAGTGCACGGCTGGAAAGCTTACCAACCTGAAGCATGAAAGCAGAATAACACCAGCACCACCCGAAGGATGGTCATTGGATGGTAAAGAACATGTTGGTGGGGCTCTAGAAACCACCGGGACTTTGTGGTGCTGGCATAAAGCACGGCATCACCTCTCAACAGCATTTTCCTGAAGAGACCTGATCTACAGGGCCTTGACAGTAAGCGTCTCATCGGACTCTGGAGGATCCTTCATAGCTCTGAGCTGGTGGATCCTGAGATGCTACAGAACCACCATGTGGTCGTCGTGGGCTACGGGAAATCGGCCCCTTGGGAATGATGAAGGATGTAGGAAGGTTTGTTAAACCAAAAGGACGAGTATGTCAAAGGTGGAATCCTCCTACCTTGGCTTGGTATTTTCCTAGTATATATATATATCTATATACAAAAAAAGGGGCCGACTCAAATGCAGTGCTTACAGCGCTGCTTGGCAGATTCCTGGTAGCTTTCCACCATCAGCCAACAAATGATTGGTCTTGGGATGTGTGTGATCAGACTGCGAGACATCAGTGAGGCCCTCGATTGCTTCATTTTGGCTTCAAAGTTCGCATCTTCAGCCACTCTGGTGGCTCGACGCCCCGCGTGGATCCTACCACAGAGATTCCTGGGATGCTCGGACTGGAGAAGGTAGGTCAACGAGTAAATGTTCTTGCTTTTGTTTTGTAATGTTTTGTATGATTGATGTTCAGAAGCCTATATCCCTCAAGCAAACTAGTAGTAGTAGTAGTAGTAGTAGTAGTAGTAGTAGTAGTAGTAGTA